GTGTCCATATACCACCATCCTGATGAATTCATATCATCAGATTCAGAAGCCAACAATAGCATAGGTTCATCATCAGACTCTCCTCTGGCTATATTTGCTTCTTTGGACTTCCTTTCTTTGTTTGACTAGCAATCTTTGGCACAGTGATCAAAGTTCTTACAACCGTAACACTGAATATTCTTCTTGTCAGACTTCTCCTTTCCCTCCTGGACATTCTTCTGCCTATTAGAGGTTGAAGCTTCTGACCTTTGACCACCATTAGTTTTCTTCCTGGCTTCTGACCAAGTCTGCTTCTGATACTTCTTACTAGAAGTTGCTTTCACAGTCTGCTGCTCTACTTCCCTCTCAGAAGTTCTCTCAGTCATACGCAACTCATACGCCTCTAGACTACTTTGCAGCTCTTCAACTCTCATGGTGCTCAGATCTTTGGAATGTTTAATTGCTACCACAATATAATCAAACTCAGAAGTTAAAGATCTCAATACCTTCTTTATGATTACTTTATCAGAAAGAGTTTCTCCACAAGCTTTCATCTTATTAGTGATCAGAATCACTCTAGAGATGTACTTAGAAACCTTCTTGTTGTCCTTCATATTGAGATTCTCATATTGCTTTTTGAGAGACTGAAGCTTCACCTTCTTCACTGATGCGTCACCACCGTAACATCTGACCAGTGTGTCCCACGCTAACTTTGCTATTTCAGAGTCAGCAATCTTCTCAAACAGATTTGCATCCACACACTGATGGATGTAGAACAAGGCCTTTTGATCTTTCTTCATTACCGCCTTCTGCGCTATCTTTTGTGCTTCTATCGCGTCTCCTTCTAATAGAGCATATCCATCAGTGACAAGATCTAACACATATTGGGAACCAAATAACACACGCATTTGGATCTTCCAATGATTCCAGTTTTTTCCATCAAACACTGGAAGCTTGGAATTGATATCACTGTTTCCATTCATCTTCAACCTTGTGCAATTCACTAAAACACAGTGTTTCCCAAATCCCACAGAATTCGAAAAATGTGATTCTCAATCACACAACACCTCACAATTCGAATCTGAAAAATGTTCACTCATATTCAAATCGAAGCTCTAGATACCAATTATTAGTACACAAGGAGAGGTGAAAGACAAAAGGAATATATTGAATGACGGCTACAAAAATAAGGAGTAAAAATGAATAATTACATTGACCTACTACTAGGCTATTTATACACAAAATTAAGGTATAATAAAATACTAAAATATCCTCTAATAAACTTAGTCAATAAGACATTCCTAAAATATAAATTATTTCCAACATGTTGTAATTAGATTGTTCAAAATTTATTTAGATTTGTATTTTGTAATATTTTGTTGTGTGTGATGATTATGTATAGAATTTGAATTTAAAGAATGAATTTGTGAAATTATAATATTTTTAATTTTTGAAATTTTGTAGGTGTCGTAATTTTTTAGGATATAAAATCATCTAGTTCGACCGATTTAATAACAATATAGTTTTGTTATAGAGACCCGTTTATTTAACCAAGTTATTTAGTTTAATCATGCGATTCAATCAATGATTCAGTGGTTCGACCAATGAATCAGTAACATAGTACCCTCAACGGTTTGATGACTGGTCTAATATTTAAAACATTAGAGTAGTGTATTATAGAAAAAGTAAATGAACAACCAAGTTGTTAAGCTATGCAGGTAGATTGTAACTCATAAAAGTGTTACCAAGGCCATGTCCAACTATTGGATGAAATGTCTTTCCTTCTCCAAGAAAATTATTCAGAAAATTGATGTCATTTGTAGGTCCTTCCTTTGGACAAGAGGAGATGCAATATCTAGGAAATCTCTAGTGGCGTGGAACCAGGTATGTGCTCCCAAGGACCAAGGAGAGCTTAATGTCACTTCCCTTAAGGAATAAGACAAGGCTAACATGGCAAGGTTTTTATGGAATCTTAGCGGAAAAGTTGATAGCTTGTGGATTAAATGAGTGCATATATACTATATTAAAAACTGGCAGTTGATGAATATGCATGTGAATCAAAATGCCTCTTGGATTTTCAAAGTTATTTTGAAGCAAAGAGAGGTGGCTACTAGTATGAGGTGACTACAAAGTTTGATATCAGGAAAGTCTATAATTCCATAAAGGAGGAGTATCCTAAAATGGAGTGGAGATATTTGATGTACAAAGATTTTTGCACGCCCCCGTGCTTTGTTTGTGTTCTAGATGGCGTGTCATAACAAATTAGCAACCAAGTGAGACTCCATCGATTTAGTCTGATTGATAACAGTAATTATATTTTTTGCCAACAGGTAGAAACCATTGATCACCTTTTCTTCACCTATCCCAGTCTAAATATAATATGAAAAACAGTCCTTGAGTGGATTCAAATTAATAACTACCCAAGAGATTGGAGGGAGAAGCTGGATTACTATAAATGGTAAAGACAAAGGTTGGAAAGCCTGCATGGTTAGAAGTGCAACAGGTGAGATTGTTTACAAAGTTTGGAAGCAGTGGCAGAGACAAGGGGTGGCAAAGGAAGACCACAACCATCCCGTTATTCTTTTTTAAAGAAAAACATATATAGTTGCCATTAGATATTACATGCTGAAAAACATATTCATTAAGTTTACACAACTGATACATTAAAAATATTAATAAATTAGGATGTACTTTCAATCCTAATTAGATGTCATATCCTACACAATACATTCAGACATACAATACACTTACATTCAACTATTTTACTTTATATTTATATTTCACTCTATAAACTACCACTTCACTTCACATATAAAAATTTAACTAATTATTATCATCATTATTAACTATTAATAAATTAATTATTTAATTTATTATTGATATTCTTAATTAATTTATATTATTTTTTAAGCAAAATTATTAGAAATAATAATAATAATTGAGTATTATATTTAAAATACATCTCAATGATTATTTATAAAATTAACATTAGTCTCAAATTCGTCTAAATATTTGACAAGAACTTAAGACATAATTTTCATAAAAACAAATAAAATAAATAAGTATTTTGTGAATTATCATTTTAAGGACTCTTCATAATTTTGTCTTAAATTTGGCTTAATATTTTACACAAATTTAAGATGAAATATAAAAAATAATAAAATAAACAATAATTTTAAATTATATTTAAAATTTATCTCAGTCTATATACACAATGAAATTCTTTCTAAAATCTGTCTTGGTATTTTACACAAATTTGAGATCGAATTTCCAAATAAAATAAAAAACAATTATATATTTATTTTTGAAATCTACCTTAAAAATTTCTATAATTGAAATTTGTCTCAAACCCGTCTCAATGTATCACATGAATTTGAAATAAAAATTATAAAATATAGTAAAAAAACAACAATTATATAATTAGTCTCAAATCCGTCTCAAAATCATTAAATGATTGAAATTCACCTAAAAACTTAATGTCATTTAAGGCGAATTTTATTTTATTCTAAATTTCTATTTAAAAATGTCAACATTTGAATAGTGTCACGACTACATCTAATGTATTCATCACCATATACATTTATATTAGTCTCGATCACATCTCTATATTTTATATTTGAATTCTCATTATTATATATGTTTAGTAAGTTTCATTTCATTTTTTTGATGTATTTTTAATTTCAAAATTCTATTCGAATATTAAAATTATACATTCTATAATTTTAAAATGTTTATTTTAGTGTTAAAATTATACATTTTTATTCTTGAGAATTGTTATCTTAATGAATTGCTTAACAATAAATAAAAAGTTAATATTTTTATCACGATTATTACAAATATATAATTATATTTTGTTAATATTTTATTAAATTTGATTAAAATTTAAATATTTTATATATAAAACTTTTATAATTATTTATAATTTTTAGTTTATCTTAAAGGCCATCTCAAAATTTTTGGTCTAATTCCACTATTTAAATAATATAGATATTGAAAGTATAATTATAGACACTTTAGTTTATAGAAGTAGTGTAACCCATTGAGTTTATGGTGAATTAGTTTAGGCTCTTAGTTTGTTTTGTCTTGATTGGATACTTTGAATCACCTGTTGTTTTCTGTTTTTGGATTAATAAAAGTATCATTTCTCCTACAATATTCATTAGTCTAATAGTAACATTACTTAAATTAATTTGAAGAAGTGAAAATTATAATATTATGTAATTAACATAACATGGGGAAATTTTCAAAAAGTCCTGAAAAAAAGTAACATGACACAATTAGACGGAATAACAATTTAAAAACAAAAAGATAAAATGGTATATTTGCTAGTATTCTCTTTTCTCTGGGAGTACTTTCCTAGAGCTTTCCTGTGTATTTTTTGGGCAGAGAGTAGAAATATAGTACATCCTCTCTCTAGTGCCATCAATGTGAGAGTTATGTTTCAACGAATGCTATTAATGAATTCTAAAATTTCTTTAAGTTACCAATCTACTACCATATAATAGATTTGATGGAGCTTTCAACAACAATGTTATTATTACCTAAGGCTTTGTTACCTACTTCTAGTACATCATTGAGGAAAAGCAATAACTCTTAAGGCTAACTATACTAATACTTAAGGGAGATCCAACAGTACCAGATTTTAGGAACTTAATGATAAATTTTTAAAACTGTTAAAGAAAGGGACCTATATTCTCTGTTGTAGGGTAATCACACAGCTATGTTCTCTATTTCATAGTATCACATAAAAGGCCCATGACTTCAAGGGTCTTCAACTCTTTCATCAATGTTCATCTTCCAACAATGAGTAACGCAATCCACATGATATTCTTCCCATGTGTATCCAATTACTTTATGCAGTTTAAATTCCATACACAAAGGTAAAACTATTGTTGATTTATGATGCGTTCAACATGATCATAGCTGTATTGAACCCAAGTGCAATACATATCCCATGCTAAAAACGGGTCGAGTGTAATTTTATTGCGGAATCCGTTACATAAGTTAAAATACGAGTATCATCAGGTAGAAGGAGCACCATTATCCGTCATGAGAAAGTGAAGTTGCTCTCGCAAGAACAAAACCTGGATCAAGAATAACCAGTTGGTAAGTATCACCAACAAATGATAATGCATACATGATATTAGGCAAGGGTAAGATTAAACTGTTTCAAAAGAAATTGACATTACCTCTTCAGAAAGTAAGGGAGGGAGATCTTCGGTTGTTATAAGACTCGCAACTTCAATACGCAGCTTTTCTTCTTTAATGCCAGACCAAGTATGCAAGGGCAAGGCGAATAAAAGCACTGTTAAGACATCAGCAGTAGATGGGTGCATTCCAATGCACTGGCCCTCATTACAGAGACACAAGCTACTCGGCTTCCTTAGACACAAAGGGACCAGTACATCAACTCCTTGTTCACTATTGTATCCAGTTGTAGTAACGGTTCCGGAAATCAACGTTACTGGATTTTCACTATCAACATTCAGATGCTTTACATCTATTTTACTACAGCAATTTCCGCCCGACAAACGACAACCAGTCAAGAGATCTGCCCCTTGGCAGCAAACACGTGCTGCAAGCGCCGACAACGTATCTCTGTCACCAAGGTTTGCAATGGTATCACAGCATGATCTTTCTGAATCCAACCACTTGATCACATGATTAAAGAGTGCGGTTGACCGAATTTGTTCCAGTACATCTGCCTGAAATCTCAAAGCTCCCAAACATTACGATTGTTTGTTTATTGGATTTTCTTTTACAAGAGAAGTCTTTGATAATGCATGACATGTTTACCAAATTCAAAAGGGAAATTATTTTCCCCAAATCGAAAAGTAAATAGATCAAAACCTTGATTGCTAGCCTTCCTCTCTCCTCCTCGCTCAATGTGAGATTCCCGTCTTCTTGCCTGCGAACCTCAGCAATCCATGTGATAAACTCTCTCAATTCAGCAGGAGGAGATTTATATACAACAGAGAGCACTTCTGGAATTTCTTTTAGATCCTCTGATTTTAGAAGAAGAGGAACGTCTTCAGTTAGAAATTTGGCAACACTGCCCCAACCTTCATGTCTACAACTCTGCAGATTGTCTCAAATAAAGTAAATATTTACTGGAATCCACACAAACAAAAAGAATTTGCTTGAAGCATAATCCAAACAAACAATCAAAATAAAAAAGTTGTAGTTAACTTAAAACAGTAAAATTCAACCACCACATAGAAGTTCCTATTGTAGTTAACTTAAAAATTCATGAAATTAGAAAATTTATCTATGTTCTTCAATGGTTTGACTAGGAATCCTTCAGTAGTACATTACCACAGTATAAAGTATTGATGGTGCCCTGTTAAGCCTTGAAATAATCATGTACCTGAAATATCAATGTCTATATATAAAAACTCAAACGATTTCATAAAATTCTAACCTTCAAATCCCAGAAATTAGCAGACTTTAATGATATCAGTCATACACTCAATAGTATAATTTCTAAATACCGAGTAAAGCCAAGCCAAATTGCATCAGAAGATACCTACCAATCAGACAAATATGGAGGTGAAACAATAGTTTCATGTATGCAATCATTATGATTATGATATGAGGTAAAGATATTTCACTACCACCCTTTTCCGTCACAATTTAGTTCCTCGTGGTATGGTACGCACGCCAAGAAATATTACTATTTATAAAAGTTTATAAAACTTGAATCAAAAGAAAGAAAGAACATCACATAAGATGAAAATCTTATAAATAGTAAAACGTTAACCCTATTTTCAATACTAACAAAAGGCATAGCAGTGTTAAGTTTAGTGAAAGGAAACACATAACAGCAGTAAAAGTTAGATTTTGTAGACAAAATTGTGGGAGAAACACTACAATAAACCATTACCCCCTATGTTGTCCAGTATCTTGATCAATGGTATTCAACGCATTCCAAAGAATGGTTAGCGGAACCCAGTGAGGAGGATATTTGAATCGAGCAACATCCAATATCAGGACCATATCCCTTTCAGCATGATATCCTCCAAGCGGTGAAAAATGCCCACTTCCAGTCTGTTACGAAACAATATGTCAAATTTCCATCACTTGTATATATCAGCCATATAAAAGAATGTAACAACACTATGTATATAACATAAAGTGATAAAAAACTAACTAACATAAGGGGAGTGAGTCCTTTACAAAACCTGATTAAGTGGAGTCCTGAGGTAAGACACAATGACATGACAATCCTCCTGCGAAGAGCACGAAATCACGCGGTTGCGAAAATCATCAACGTTACTCTGATCCGATCGAAAGGCTTCAACTTTAGCTCCATTACATCGAGCCAAACACGCAACTTTTCCGAACGTAATACCTTGCGACATAATCTTGTCCAAAGGCTCACAACAATCCAACATTGTATCATCAAACCATCTCCAAGGACCTGTTATCTAACCAATTCAGTTAAAATGGTAAAGTAATAGGGTTTAATTAAAAAGAAAGTAGAAAGTACCTTTCCATTTTCGACCGGGATCAATGGCAAGAGCATTGAGGACAACAGAAAGAGTGGCTAAACCACAGAAAGCGGGCTCTGATTGAGTCTGATAATATGAAATTAACTTGAAGAAACCGTTCATGGTTCCCTTTGCAAGAGCTTCGGTGAAGATTCTCTTTCCTTCCGCCGAAGAGAACTCGATTGAAGGCGGAGGGAGGGTTCTGCGGTACAGACCTGCGCTTGCCATGCATAAACTCTGATTCATACACTATCTTGCTCAACTTTCGTTCTTGTTTCGTTATAAAATATATATACCTTGCTTGTATCGGAACCCTGTTTTTCCACCATATATTCAAAAAGTGCTTATTTGAGATATGGGATCAACAAAGAATAAAACGGAGGGAATAATAATTTAATTGGTAAACACCTTAGGAGATAAATTATATCAAACATGTTAATTAGTATTATTAAGAGGAATAAATTAAATTAGTGTCTGAGGGTAAGGAGGACATTTCACCCTCTTAAATTAACATTAGAGACTTATTTGGCATAATCCCAATTGTGTTTTGTTGGAATATCAGATTTTTGAAGATAGAGAGAAAGAGAACGTGAAAGAAGAAGAAAGTTTCATTTTTGTTCAAGCTCAAATCTTGCATTCATCTCAAGTAGTTTATCTTCTCCATCATCCTCTTTTGATTTTCACAACACTTTCTTCTTTAATTCAAGGTGAGTCTTTAGTTAGAGACTTGAGGTTTTATTGGAGATTGTATGAATTGGGGAAATTGTGGTTTTATTGTGAGAGAATTCTTATTGCATGTTGACTGTAATGATAGAAAGTATGTATATTGGTCATTTTGTGATGAAATTGTGGAAATATGATATAGTATGCTAAATGGAGTTTGGGTCTGTTTGGGTTAGGAAGGAATTGATACTGTAGCTGGAAAAAATGCAAAAAGCTGATTTTTTACAAGGTGTAACTGGTTACCGGTATGGAGGTAATCGGTTACCATACGCAGACAAATGTGAAGGGATTTTGGTTCAGGGGGTGTAATCGGTTACCAGTATAAGGGTAATCGGTTACCACTGAGTCGGACTGAAATATTTTTAAAATTTTATAAATTCGTAACTTTCGTTTCAGGTGTCTGATTGACGCGTGATTTTTATCGTTGAAAATCTGGTAAGACGTACTTTTTGATAAAATTATTTTAGATGCCAATATTTTTCCTCTAAGCACATTAGAATTATATATTTTGCTTTCCCCGAGTGCAGTTTATTTCCGCAATGAGAACCAGACGCCTCCTTAGTCTTTCATGGCTTATGAAATGGTGTTGTGGAGTGTATAACACTGTGATATGATCGCTCATGTGCTAATGCTATGAATATGTATTATGTCGACAATGCGTTATGTGATAAAAACTATGATGTGATCATTTGTTGTTTTTCTGTTCGTTCCGGTTGAACGTTCAGAGACGTTTTGAAAGATGGTCATCATGACCATAACATCACAACAGTAATAATCATCATGAGGAGAATTCTGCATCGAAATTGAGACTTTGCAAAAAAAATATCCATTTCTTCAAATGTTGCGAAATAAATATTTTTGGGGGGCAATTTGTTGGCTGGAATTTCGACAGTACATAATATAGGAGAAATAAGAGGATATCGAAGAAAGCTTAATTTTACAAAGGGGGTGTGAAGGTTGTTACCTATGGTTTTTGATTGACTGGCCAAATAAGGGCTGAGAATTAGCGAAGTCTTATTATTATGGAATGTATATGACTTAAAGATGTTTCAAGTTTTGAATTCAAATAATTCGACAAATCATGTCATGATTTTGGCGCTTTGAATCGAAGACGGATTTGAATTAAATGCTTTATTCTTATATAGAAGGACACGTGGAGGTATGAGGTTTCAAGGAAGTATGCAGCGTTAACGTGGCACTTCTATAGTGAAAGACCGTTATGGTCGAAGTAGTATAAATTAGGATCTTAATGTTAGATTTTAGTGTGTTCACTTTTATATAAATTACTCATAAAACTCGAAGTACCAGCATTTAGAGAAAAGAGTCATTGAGAATATATGTACGAATCACCATATTTTACTTAATTGTCAATTTATTTTTACCAGACTACTTCTTATCCCTTTTACTTTTAAGTCGAAGTCTTTTTATTTCTCCATAGTTACTTTACATAAAATTTATGTCTTTACACATTAACCATAACCTTTTAAAAGATGAACATTCGAAAGACATAAACCAATGAAACACAACACGTGTTCTAGGATCAATCTAGTCGATCATGTAAGTTATCAGAATTTTTAGAATTCGAAAGACTAGCGGTTGTTTACCAACTTTCACGGTAAATAAATTGGCACGCCCAGTGGGACATTGTCGTGTTTGTGTCACAAAGTCTTTATTTTGTGTTTATTTTAGTCTATCTTGTTTAACATTGTTGTATGAGATTAAGGAGTGGAAATTTAGCCAAAAATAAAGGACAAATTCCAAAAAGAAAATATACTAGGAAGATGGTTAACCCACCCATTAATAATGGAGAACAACCATCCCCTTCGACAGGGGAAAGTGCGGCTTCTTTGTCTAGAAAATTAGCCTTAGATCCTTGAAGAGAACTTATTAAGGAATCTTTAAAGAGAATCATGGCTTTGTAAACAATCCAAAATCTCAAAAAATGAGTAAGATATGTTCCTTGGAAGTCAACAAAGTCTAGCTCAAAGAGTGTGAAAATGACTTGATACCCCTTTTAACTTTTGATGATTTTTCTTACACAATTGGATCTTATTATGTGAAGAGAAGTTATTGTAGATGATGATAAGAACTCATAGCAAAAAGAGCCAAATCAAAATATTAAAAATTGAGAAAGTTATTCACTTTTGTTCACTGAATCAAACACTTGCTTAATTAGGTTAAACTTGTTGAATCAACCTTGAATATTTTTGATATTTTTTGAAAAATAGAGCATGCTAAATCACATTAGACCTTGAAATGATATTTTCTTGTGTAGGTGTTTAGGTATTGGCTTGCATTTTTGGTAAATCCCAAGTGTATGTGTGAATGTCATGACTGATGTCATAACATTCTAGTTCAGTTTGTACTGACTCATTAGGAACCTTTGCAGAAAAATATTGTAATTCAAATACTGATGTTTATAAGTGTGTATCTGAGCATTTTTGCAAAATGATCACATTTTGCTAAATCAGTAGACAGGTTTTCTCAGATGTCATAACAGATGTTATGACATCCTGTTCTGAACTAACAGGATTGCAGGATTGGATAAGTCTGAGTTTTTTCAGGAAATAACTCAGTCCTTTCTGAACAGAATCCTGCGTTTTCTGAGGGGTAACCTAGATCAACCCTAACCTGGTTAATAAAGTCCTGTGACCTGATCTTTAGGTAAAAACAGAATTAACCCTAGGTTTTTGGAAACCCTAACTGAAGTTGCAGCTGCTATATATTCAACAGAGCTGCTGTTTTTCATGGATGGCTTTTATTGATTAGAAGATCATTTGTAATCTGTATAGATTTGTTTATTGTACTCCAAGCAATTATCATTGTGATAAGTGCCTTGGAATAGGTTTCAAATTGTAAGGGTTGTGTAGCACTCTAAGCTTTGAAGCAAGAGTGCTTGAATGTTCCTTGACTAAAGCTGTGAAGTAGAGTCAAGTTAGTTGTGTGCATCACTCAAAGCTGTGAAGCAAGAGTGATTGTGTTGCTTGATTAAAAAGCTGTGAAGCTTAATCAAGTGTTTGTTTTTGAAGAGTGTCTTCATCAATTATTATGTCAAATTAGTTTATGTACCACTGCTGTGATTGAGGGGGAGTGAGTTGGTACTCAGGTTTAAGTTGTACTTAGATTGGAATTGCATTGGGTAGGTCTTAAGTGAAGGAGATAAACTGGTAGGTTTATTCCTGAATTAACATCTCTTATAGTGGATTTCCTCCCTGGCTTGGTAGCCCCCAGAGTAGGTGTTGTTGCACACTGAACTGGGTAAACAATTGACTGTGTTCTTTACTGCTTTTGTATTTACTGTCATATAGTAAGTCAGATACGGTGTCATAACATTGGACGTGACATTGAGTATCTGCAGCCAGAATTTCATCTTGAACCACACTCAAAGATGGAGCTTAAGTCTCAATGAAGCTTGTTGAAGAAGGCATGAAAATAAACACGTGAACTTATGAATCTTCTTGATGAATATCGTCATCAACTTTGAGGAAAACTTGACCTAAATAAGGTGAGAGAGCTCTTTGAACCAAAAACTTTGATATCATAGACATAGCCTTGAAGCTTGAGCTCTTGCCATCTATTGAAGAACCATTTGACTGATGACCAACCCTTAAACCCTAGGTTAGATGGTGAGATGGATGAAATTGTGTCATCACCTACAATATGAACATTCAAATAAACACATATACATATCTTGATGTTAGTTAAAAGAACACATGTTCAAGATACACAATTCAAGGTGCTTGGTGATCCCTCAAGATAAAACTTAAAAATAGGATGAAGTAGAAAGAGAGAACCAACCCTAATGTGTGATCTTGATGTGTTGATAAAATGAGATAATGAGAGATCTTAGGGGTAAAAATTGGGGTATAACTCAACAGGCGTAAGTGAAATCATGCAATGCAACAATATGTAAATTCAAATTCCACTACTAGAGGTATCCTATTCCTATTCAACCAACATAAGTACGATAATTTCCTTAGTTCCAACACATAAACTAATAAACAATATTCCCTATACGCCCATGATCAGAGTAATAAAGTATCTCAAATAAAATGCATTAAAGACAAGAGGTAATTAAAGAGAAATATAACTTCAATTATTCATGGACTAGAAAATTAAGCATATGTCCCAACAAGTTCAAAATAAGTTCATCATACAAAACCTAACTGTGATACGGTGGGAGAACTGATTAGTGTTTTGCGTTTGTTTTCGCAAATGTTTCGGTTGAGCAAGAGTCGCCACCGACTTTTTATTTTCTCCTAAGGAAAGGTTTAAAAAGCACAGCAAAAACCTTTGAGATTTTTCTTGGGTTCGGGGAATAGATTATAGAAGGGGAAGGTATTAGCACCCCTTCTATCCATGGTTATCCATGGGCTCTTAGGTACTTGCTTAGATCAACTTGCCTTTTTCAATTGTTTGAAATGGTGCTTTGTGTATGATTTTGAAAATGTTTTGAAAAGATGCCTTGTGCTAGGCTAACCTTGTAACAATTCTTTACTCGAATG